CCCAAGCTTGCTGCGTGAGTTTCTGGACAAACGAGGGCGAAACAAAAAAAAAAAAGTGAAAGGGTGATGCGCGCCTCCCTTGGACTGGAAAACTAAGGGCGAAACTAGAGTCCAGCCGACGCGATGCAGGGATAGCATCATGGCACCGAAGGGCCCGCGCACGCTGCCCCAATCAATGGGCGCTTAGCCCATGAGGGCCCCTCCGCGGGATCGGAGGGTAGACGAGGAAGAAAGGCTTTGGACTGAATTGGTGGCGGCTGCCCACACAATTGAACGCCGCGCTAAAGCGGGCCCCAGAGCTAGCTTCCAGGTTGGGTCTCCCACGAGGAGCAAGCTGAGGGCCCTGCTTCTGGCGGCGCATTTGGGCCCAGCTAACTTAAGATATTGTCGTTGGGCCATCGCGAGATGGAAGTTATTGAGGCCTGTCACCTCATGTCCAAAAGATGTGGCTGCGATGATGCCCGTGTTATAGATATTCCTGGTGCGCCCTCCTGCTCTCCTGATCGCCACCAGCCTCCTCATCCTTCTCTTGGTAGTGTTCATCATTGCCGTGGCGAGCCTGTCCGTCCTCCATTTGCACTGGGGGGCGCCAGCTGCGGTCTCGCAGCCGAGGTTAGATGTCCAGCAACGCGCCTGCTCTCTCGCGGAGTTTTTTCTTGATGCCCTTGCGCAGCTCTGGAGTGGAGGCGAGCATCTGCTGGATGCACTGGATCAAACTGCCGGTCCCCCGATCGAGTCTGGCTGTGCCTGCACTGGCCTGGCGCGCGCGCGCCTTCATGAGGAGGTCAATTATGAACATGAACAAGTCTAGAATGGGGTTCTGCTGGGTCCAGGAGTCGAGGGGGTCTAGCGTGTACATCTGTATGAGATACGCTGCAAACCCACACCCTGCTGCTATACCGTATAGAGTATGTCCCACCGGCAAGACTAGACCCTGGAGGGCGACATATCGTTGGCTAGCGTAGACGCTGAGGATAATACGAAGTATGGCAGCTGCGAAAGCGTTGCGTAGGGCTCGCGTGGCTAGCTTGTTTCTATTGATGTGCTCATAGTAGCTGCTGAGATCGTATAGGATCATACCTGAAACAAGTCGCGCGTTACGATTGTTGTAGCTCTTGCAATCGAGGCTTTGTTTGAACACACTTTCTACTATGGAGTGACCTGCTTGATGAGCAAGGAACGGTCGTCTGCGATGGCGTACCCATTCGCGAGCAGCTGACTGTCTTCCTCTAGCCCACGCTCGCTACAGGCCCGACATCATTACAATGGATCTCATTGCTGACTTGGTGGCTTGCGGGTATTGCTGTTTATGTTTCACGATCAGAACTGAAGTGATGGCCTGTATCTGTGCGGGCATGAAACCGAATCGCTCGATAGTGAGGAGCAGCTTGGCGACCAGGTCGGCCTGCTGCTCTGTGATCAGGGCGAAGTGCCTGGGGTGTAAGCCGTCCCAGGTCAAGGCGGTCAGAGGCGGAACGTTTTTTTGCGGTTTCGGCAATGATTTCTCCCGTCATGGGGCCCAGGGCGACTCGATCATCTGTGTCACTGGGTATGGGGCTTTGTTTCGGGGTGTCGAACACGCCCCAGATGTTCGCTAGCCTCTCCGCCTCGCCTTCTCAAATGCTGCTTGGTCGTCCAGATCATATTCCTCTCAAATATGCGGTAGCTGGCTTCCAAGCGTCTAAACTCCTGGTCCATCTGTGAGCCCAGCCGACGCGTTCTTCGAGCGAGCTTTGGACCCATGAGGCCCATGCTTTCGAAGCTTCCGAAAACTGTTTCTTCCTCTCGGGGCCGATGCTTTTGTCAAGATCCTGGGGAAACTGGCTGCTGGCCTGGTCGGCTGTGCCCTCGGATAAGACTCCAGCTGTGATGTCAGCCAGCAGTAATTCGCACCACTGGGCGACCGTCTGCAACCTGGCCTCCAGGTCGTACGAGGAGGACGAGGAAGATGGGGGGAGAAGGGGGGGGGCCAGCCGGGAGGTGGGCGGGCGTTGGGCGCGAGGCCCAGAGGGAGCGCGGGTAGAGGCGGGGAGGCAGGGGAGAGGCAGAAGCAGGGGAGGAGGCGTCGGGGCCTCCCCGTCCTCTTTCTGCTCCTCTCCCTTCCTCGTCCCTCCTCTTCTCATTTGCCTCCTCCTCCTCACTATCTCCTCCCCCCTCCCTCCCCCGCCCCATGCCTCCCTCCTCCCCCCCCCCGCCCCATCACTCATACTAGTAATTTCTCAATGTGGTCCTCCTCTTCCTCAATCTGCTACTTCTCATCCTCATCCGTCTCGTCCTCCTCCTGTTCCTCCTCGTCCTCATCCTCCTCTTGCTGATCATCATCATCATCATCATCATCATCATCATCATCATCATCATCATCATCATCATCAGAATCATCACCAGCATCATAAACAAAGCCCTCGCATCATCACCAGCACGAACAGCAACATGACCGTCATTATCAGCAGCACCATCGCCGGCAAACTCATCAGGCTCACAAGAATCGCCAGCATCAGCGTCATCGTCGACATCGCTGTCACCAGTGTAAACAATCGCCAAACACAGCATCAGCGCAAACAACACCACCACTACCACCATCCGTAACATAATCGACACCACCATCATCAGCATCATCAGCATCATCAGCAGCACCAGCTTCCTCATCATCAGCATCACCAGCATCATCCTCATCATATCCGTCCTCATCATCATCAACATCATGAGCATCATCATCAGCATCATCATCAGCATCGTCATCAGCATCATCATCAGCATCAACATCACCATCATCGTCCTCGTCATCATCGTCGTCATCATCACCATCATCAGCATCATCTTCATCATCAGCATCAGCATCATCCTCAGCATCATCGGCAGCATCATCATGATCATCAGCAGCACCATCAACAGCAGCTGCATCGTCCCATTAGCATCACCATCAGCAGCATCGTTATTATCACCACCACCACAACTATCATTACAACCACCACAACCATCAGCAGCATCATCATCGCCATCATCATCATCATCATCAGCATCATCATCATCATCATCGTCATCATCATCATCATCATGATCGTCGTCATCATCAGCATCACCAACATCATCATAAACACCATCAACATCAGCAGCATCAGCATCACCGTCATCACCGCCATCGGCATCATCATCACCATCATCACCATCATCATCAGCAATGTAATCGTCATCAGCATAGTCATCATCATCAGCAGCATCGTCAGCATCACCAATACCAGCATCATCGTCGTCATCCTCATCAGCATCGGCACCAGCATCAGCATCATAATCAGAAGCATCATCGCCAACATAATCATCACCAGCATCATCACCATCGTACTGTTCATCATCAACTTCATCTCAATATTCAGATTCATTACCGCTGTCATCAACATCATAGGCATCATCGTCATCCGCATCCACACAGCCACCATCAACTGCATAACCACCATTAGCATCGTCATGATCAACACCATCGTCACCACCACCACCAACAGCATGGCCATCATCATGATCATGATAATCAGTGTCATCAGCATCACCATCATCATCCTCATCGTCATGATAATCATCATCATCTTCCTCATTGGCATCCTCATCAGCATCATCATGATCATCAGCATCACCATCATCCTCATCGTCATCGCTATCATTATGATCGTCGTCATCACCAGCAGCAGCAGCACCATCCTCATTAGCGTCATCTTTCCTCTATTTCTCCTCCTCCTACTCCTCCCCCTCCTCCTTCTCCTGCTCCTCCTCCTCCTCCTCCTCCTCCTCCTCCTCCTCCTCCTCCTCCTACTACTACTACTACTACTACTACTACTACCACTACTACTACTACTACTACTACTACTACTACTACTACTACTACTACTACTACTACTACTACTACTACTACTACTACTACTACTACTACTACTACTACTACTACTACTACTACACTACTACTACTACTACTACTACTACTACTACTACTACTACTACTACTACTACTACTACTACTACTACTACTACTACTACTACTACTACTACTACTACTACTACTACTACTACTACTACTACTACTACTACTACTACTACTACTACTACTACTACTACTACTACTACTACTACTACTACTACTACTACTACTCTACTTAATCCACCGCCTAATCCTGATCGTCCCTCAATTCCAGCTCATCCCCCAAAGGACACCAGAGGAGCAAGAGAGCAAGAGAAGCAGGAGGGCCTGGAGCAGCAGGAGAAGGAGCAGTAAGACCGATGGCGAGGAACATGCAAAAGATGAGGACGCGTTTCGCAGAATGCCTTGGATTCAAGAAAGAATTGCTGGCGAGTCTCGATGGGCACGACACTACGAAACTGCGCTTGCCTGTGCAGACCTGCAATGCAATCGCAGACTCTGGTAGACTCACAAGTGCACGAAACATCAACGAATGTGGTCAAGCGCAGAGCATGCTTAGCAAGCCTGTGCCACAGAGCCATAAGACATAGCCGCTGGACTCCCCAAGAGAGCGCCAAGACTGCCCGAGAGAAGCTCGAAAAAGACCCCGAGAGGCGACGGGACGGCCCAGAAGGGCCCAAGAAGCACCCCAAGGAGCCCAAAAGCCTTCGAGATGCCCCCAAGAGAGCCCCCAAGAGGCCCCCAGAAGCCTCGAAGAGGCCCCCAAGAGGCCCCCAAGACAACCCAACTGAATGCTCTCTGAGCACAGTTCAAGAGCCCAGCAGGCCACAAGACGGCCCTGGAGGGTGCGACCCAGTGAGCTGTTCGCTTTCCTTCCTGCGCGCTACTGGATGCCAGTCACGCGCATTACTGCCCTCCCGCCGAACCCTGGCGACATTGCCAGATGCGTTGGCGGATGCGGCGTCGCGACCAATGCGCTGCGTGTGCAGCAGGGGGTCTCCTAATGCGGCCCAGGACACTCAGGGCTCCACGGGCTGCGAATTGAGCTTCCAAGCACGCTCCTTTGCACGTTCCTGGATCCATGGCACCAGGCCGATCAATAGCTCGTCGCTGCGGCGGCCAACGCCGCTGCCGCTGCGGCCATTGGGAGGACGGAGGGCAGCGTCCTGAGACCGCTGCCGCAGTCCACGGGGCAGGTGGGCCTGTCCCGCACAATGCTCAAGCACCTGCCCTGGACCTTCTCGTCGAGGCACCCGATCTTCGCAGCGCACTCCACCACGCAGCTGATCCCGTCGCACTCCGCGCCGGGAGTCTGCAGCGCCGTGCGCACGTGGTCGTCCACGATCTCGAGGAGCTCGCTGCTGCTCTTGCCGTGGCACTGGGGCACGGCGTCGCCCTCGCCGGCGCCGCCGAAGACTGGGCAGGCGAGCAGGCAGGAGCACGCCTCCTCCGAGCCGCTGCCGCACCTGTCCGCGTCCTGCTCGTCGGCAGCCGCGTGCCCGAGGAGGGCGAGGATGAGCACTGCGGCCGCGCGAGAGCTGGCCATGGCTGCGGATGGCGACGAGGGTTCGGGTCGTGGAGCCTGGGCCACGTTAATTAGGCTCCAGCCAAGAGAGAAGTACGGCGGCGACGACGGCTGAGACGACGACGACGGCGGCGGTAACGGCGAGCGGCGACTGCGACGGCGACGGCGGCGGCGATGACGACGATGGCGACGGCGGTGAGTAAGGGCGGGAGCAGCGGCGGCGACGACCTCGACGATGACGACGACGACGACGACGACGACGACGACGACGACGACGACCGGTGAGTAATGGCGGGAGCAACGGCGGCGACGACCTCGACGATGACGACGACGACGACGACGACGACGACGACGACGACAACAGCCATGTTGAGAAACCTACAGATAACCCTGACAAGGTGGATTTCGACCTCCCCCACACGCTGTATCCCACCTGCCCTTCACTCCCCTCGGGAAACCACGTCCACCATTAGCTCTGGGGCTTAGGAAGTCGCGCGCCTTCGGTGGATGGGAATCAGGAAGCGTAAGAAACTACGTGGGCGCTGGCCGCAACACCAGCTGATTTCCTGCATCCCCCTCCCCTCTCAGACACACGCACACACACAGCCTGGGCAGATATCTATCTATCTATATATATATATATACATATATACAAATATATATATATATATAGGTGGAGGAGGAGGAGGTAGCAGGAGGAAGAGGTGGAGGAGAGGGAGGATGAGGGCAACGGAGGAGGAGGAGGAGGAGGAGGAGGAGGAGGAGGAGGAGCAGGATGGGGGAGGAGGAGCGACGTTGGCAGAGGGCGCAGGTCGCCCGACAGGCGGCAGACCAGCGGTGGGGCATGGTGCGCGCTCCACTGAGCGACGCTGCCACGAAGTTGGGGGAGGAACCCTCAGCCACATTGGCGTGCTGTGAGTGTCAACGAACAGCACGAAGCGCTGCACGGCTCGCCGCAGCGAGAGCACGCAGCGAAGCGTCAGGCACGCAAGCGGCAGCAGGGCAGGGCCTCCGGGCTGTGAGTGTGGATTGGAGCAGTGGGAACTCAGGAGACCGAAGAGGACGAAACAGCAAGGGGTCCGGCTGCCGGGCGCAACCCAAAACGCAGCACCCCTGCTCGAAGCTGCGCATGCGCGCCATGGTGGTGCAAACGCCCGCGAGGGTTCTGATCGATGCCAAGCGCCAGCTTGGATGAACCCCATCGACAACGGTCTTCAACAGACTCCAACGAGCGGAAAGCTCGGCAGGCGAGATCACCTGATCCTGACAGGCCCAAGCGTCAATGCGTTCTCGGCGAGTGATTCCAAAAGGCGACGTGAAATTAGCACGGCGCAGCCCATCACGCTGCATCTGGGGCCGACGCGGCACGGTAACAGCCTGTTGCTGCTCACGGCGAGCCGCAGACGCAGCCGAGGCAATCGGAGCCGCGGCGACAGGCGGCATGCGGGAGCCTCGGCACAACGCCTGGCAGTCCAGAGTGGCAGAGACCACAGGTCACGAGATCATCGAAGAGGAAGATCCCGCATCGCCCAGTCCCGCAGGCGAGCATGGGCAGCCTGCCACCAGCCGCCCAGCGTGTGGACACAAAGGAGGAAGCGGAGGAGAAGGAAGGGGTGAGGCAGGGAGGAGAGTCCGGGCGTGGTCCGAGATCTCCGAGAGCTCCTACTCTTCCCTCCTCATCCTTTTCGTCCGTTTCTCCTTTTCTTCGCCGTTTCGTCCTCCTCCTCTTCATCCTCCTCCTCCTCCTCCACCTCCTCCTCCTCCTCTTCCTTCTCCTCCTCCATCTCCTCCTCCACGTCCTCCTCTTCCTCCTCCTCCTCCTCCTCCTCCTCATCATCCTTCTCCTCTTCCTCCTCCTCCTCCTCCTCCTCCTCCTCCTCCTCCTCCTCCTCCGTCTCCGATTCTTGTTCCTTCTTTATCAACGGGGAGGGGCGTGGCCTGGCTGGAGCGCATCTGGCGCAGAGCTTGTGCAACATGGGCGGTGACGGAAACGAGGGAGCGCTGAGGAGGACGACGGAGGAGCATGGAGGAGGGAGCGAGACTAACATGGCTCCCAGAGACCTCCGAGAGAATACTTCCAAGGCGGTTGTTACACTGCATGCTTCTACACTTCCCTGATCAAGGCAACTCGCCCGGCGATCTGCTTCTGGATGGGCTGGTGGGGGTACTTTTTGGTACGCGGGCGCGCGAAGCCAAGTCGAACGCCGAGCACGCTAGGGCGGGCCGCGCCGTAGCGAAGGAAACAACAGCGAAAAGGCTGGTAGGGATTTTTCCGTCGCAGACACAGGCGAAGGCGCCCGCAGCGGGTCGATTAGGCACTGGTAGGGATACGCCAATCGTCGAGAATTTGAGGGCTCTCCTCCCCTGCTGGTCTGTGGGGCACGGAAGCCTCGCTGCGCCGAGGCGAGCGACACGGCTCCCTCAGGGCCTCGTCCTTCCTCCTCCTCGTCGTCGTCTTCGTCGTCGTCGTTGCCGCCGCCGCCGTCACCGCAGCCGCTGGCGTCGTCGTCACCGTTGTCGTCCTCGTCGCACCCTTCCCCCGCGGAGCCCCCCTCTCCCGCGCCCCGCGCCCGGCCATCGTCGGCCGAGATGCACCCAGGGAGAGGGCCGTGGAGCAGGGAGGCCGAGAGGCGGCCGAGAGGGAAGAGAGGACGGGGGGGGGACGGGAAACGACTGCAGATCGAGGGGGGCTCTCTCCTGTCCGCCCTCTCTCCCCCCTCTCCCCATCTGTCCTCCCTCCCCCATATCCTCCTCCTCCTCCTCCTCCTCCTCCTCGCCAAGATGGGGACGGAGGTAGGGGAGGGGGGACGTGGACGCTCCTCCTTCGCACATCCGTCTCCACCTGACACTGTTTCTAGTTTCCTCCTCGTTTTCCTCTGCATCCTCCTCCTCCCTCGTTCTAGATTCCTCATGACCCTCATCCCCCTCCTCCTCCTTATCCTTCTCCTCCTCCGCCTCCTCCTCCTCCTCATCATCATCATAATTCCTCCTCCTCCTCCTCCTCATCATCATCATCCTCATCCTCATCATCATCACCACCATATATTCCCCATCCTTCTCATCATTACCACCACAATCAGCAGTATCAGGCTCATCATCGTAACCATTAGCATCATCATCGTCAGTATCATCATCACCAGCATCGTCACCATCATCACTTGCATATTAATCAGCATCATCACCAGAATTATCGTCAGCATCCTCCTCCTCCTCCTCATCATCATCATCAGCAGCATCATCGTTAGCAGCATCAGCATCAGCATCAGCATCAGCATCAGCATCATCATCATTATCATCATCATCATCATCAACAGCATCATATCATCATCATCAGCATAAACATCCGCATCATCACCATCATGCTCAGCATCACCTGCAACGCAGCATGCGCATCATCAGCATCACCACCAACAGCAGAACAACCTCATCATCAGCAGTACCATTACTATCATAATCACCACCCTGAGCATCATCATCAGCCTCACCCGAATCACCATCAGTATCACCCGCATCATTATCATCGTCGCCATCAGCGTCATCACCACCAGCATCATACTCATCCGCACTAACATCACCGTCATCATCGTCAGCAGCATCAGCCTCAGCATCATCAGCATCAGCACCATCATCAGAATCAGCATCTTGATCCTCACTATTAATTCAAATAACTCCCACCAGCCCTCTGGGCGTAGGTTGTCTAACGATGTCGTTCTTTCCTCCTTCTAAAACCTTGTTCTCCTTCGGGAAGGGTTTTTTTCACTGTTCCCTATTAATAGACACCCCCTCCCCCAGGCGACTGGGAGCCAACCAGGAACAATGCGGGCACCCCCCACCCCCACCATCCCTGGCAAAAAACAATACAAAACACACTCTCCCTCCAAATTCGGAGCATGCGCAGCGAACCCGATGCGGCCTCCCCCCACCATCCCTGTCAAAAAAACAATGCAGAGTACACTTGACGGCGGCGGCGGCGGCTGCGGCGGCTGCGGCGGGGGCAGCGGCTGCGGCGGCTGCGGCGATTCGGCAGCGGGGGCGGCGGCGGCGGCGGGGGCGGCGGCGGCGGCTGCGGCAGCGGTGGCGGCAGCGGCTGCGGCGGCAGCGGCTGCGGCGGCGGCGATTCGGCAGCGGCGGCGGCGGCGGCGGCGGCGGGCGGCGGCGGCGGGCGGCGTGGCGGCGGCGGCGGACAGCGGCTGCGGCGGCGGCGGGCGGCGGCGGCGGCGGCGGAGGCGGCGGCGGCGGCGGCGGATTCGCCCCCAGTAGCTGCCCATCCAAAGACGACTGCTGAATATGCTGCGGCTCGGGCCAGGCTCGAGTGCTACGTATGTGTTGGGAGGGCGGGTGGGAGTGAGCGAGACGGCTTGCGGGCGGAGAGGGGGTCTTGACCCCTCCCCCTACCCCCTCCCCTGGACCTGCACGGGAGGGGCCGCGATCGGTTGGAGCGTCCAAGATCAGCTCCCGGAAGGGCCAACGTTTGACACCCCTCACGCGGATCGTGGCCCCCGAGGGGGGGGGGCCTCGATCGAGAACCTCCCTCCGTTGATCGATAGCCTCGAAGAGAGCGCTCCAAGAGGCGCTCCAGGGCTCCCAAGAGAGCCCCAAGAGAGCCCCAAGAGGGCCCCAAGAGGGTCCTAAGAGGGCCCCAAGAGGGCCCCAAGAGGGCCCCAAGAGGGTCCCCAAGAGGGCCCAAAGATGACCTCCAAGATGGCTCAGATAACCCAAGCTGGCTCAAGATGGCTCTCAGGATGCTCCAAACAGACCCAAGACCGCTCCAAGAGCGCCCAATAACATTCCAAGAGAGCCCCAAGAAGCGATGTGCCGGCTCCTGATGGAGGAGCTGAATTGGGGACCCCCCCATCCTGTAAGCAATGGCCTCCAAGATGATCCCAAGAAGCCTTCCACGGTTACTAGGAGGGCTCCAAGAGGGCCCCCCAAACTCAGAGAGCACCAGCAGCAACAGCAGCCGCAGCTTTACATCTAGATGGCTCCATGAGTCCTCGTCCGCGTCCTCGTCCTAAACCTCGTCCTCCTCGTCCTCGTCCTCATCCGCGTCCTCGTCCTCCTCGTCATCTTCGTCCTCATCCTCCTCCTCCTCCTCCTCCTCCTACTACTCCTCCTCCAGCTCCTCCTCCTCCTCCTCCTCTTCTCCTCGCCCCCACGCGGCACCCAGGGATGGCCCGAAGAGGCCTTCCAAGGCCACCCCCTTGCTCGCTTTGTTTCCCTAGATGTGTCTCGTCGTCCCTGGCAGTGTTTCTGATTGGTTGGTAGGGATACGCGAAGCTTGAATAATAAAACCGTCATCTTCATAATCATCAGCAGCCACGGGCATTATCATCCTCATCCTCATCATCAACATCAGCAGCATCATCATAACCATCCCTATCTGTATCATCCTCATCATCGTCGGCGGCGTCGTCGGCGGCGGCGTCGGCGTCGGCGTCGGTGTCGTCGTCGTCGTCCTCGACGTCGACGTCGTCGTCTTAGGCGTCATCAGCATCATCACCACCATCCGCATCAGCATCGGCATCATCACCAGCAGCAGCAACAATATCAACATCAGCATCCAAAGCGTCGTCATAACCATCCCTCCTTCCAAATACCTCCGTCAATTCCAAGTTCCTCGTTTGTCCTGTGTCTCCAGCTCCTCCTCCTCCTCCTCCTCCTCCTCCTCCTCCTACTCCTCCTCCTCCTCATCGTCCTCCACCTCCTGTTTCTCCTCCTCCTGATAATCTCCCGTCCACTCCTCCTCCTCATCATTATCTTTCTCCTGTGGACAAGGGATGGGGGCGGTCACTGGAGAATATCGATATATATATATATATATATATATATATATACATATATACACACACCTATATATATATATATAAATATGCATGCATGCACCCCAGAAGGAAGAAACACAAGGAGGAGGAGGAGGAGGAGTAATGAGAGAGCGAGACTGGCCGCGAAGCGAACCCAAAGATAACTGAGATACCCGACGAGCGAGCTCAGCCAGACTGCGAATGTTGGGCCATTGCCCAGTGTAGACTCTGGATAAATGCTCAGCTCGATTGAAACCCGTAGTAGTCAGGCACTCGCTCCCAAGACCTCTGATCATCTGACTGGCAAGAGACAATCCCAAAGCTTGAGGGCATTGTACGGCCGCATCTGACGAGTTTCATGCACCCGGCCCCCCCGCAATGTGCGGCTCAACCCCCGACGGAACCCCGAAGACCCCCCCATTCCCACAGGATGGCTGAAAGCACGGAGCATCTCTCCACATGGCCTGGCGGGCTTCGGTGGCAGAGCAAGGGCTCTAAACTTCGCGCTTCGCGCTCCGCGAAGCGCGAAGCGCGAGTAACTTCGCGCTGTCGCGCCGCCCCCCCAAAGAGAGAAAAGGATGACGAGGAGAAGGGGGAGAAGGAACGCGGACCGCGAAGCGCGAATAACTTCGCGCCCTCGTGGGAGCCCTTGGTGTCCATCGTGGCTCTGAAAAGGCGTAGTCGGCCTTCCTGCCCAAAGAATGAACACGAAACCTGGCACCTCTTGGCAACGGCACGCACAAGAACATCGGCGACCGTGTTACCATCCACACTGGAAAGCGCCGAATCAGAACGTTGGCCTCTAGATGTGCCTTGACGAGTAACACCACCAAACAGGCTGGATACCGTTCTCGAAACTACAAACTCACGTGATACCAGAGATCTGCGTCGGGCCATTTCTCCTCAAGGTAGCGCCTGCTAGCCGATCCGTTCACAATTTCTTGATTGCACCTAAAATATACCTTGAATCCTGACGAACGCTCGGCGGCAAGCAGGGCTCAGAGTTCGCTCCGTGGGACGCATCGACTCGGGGATCTTCTGACCCAGGTCAGTCCAGACCCGGGTCAGCAGGAAACCAAAAACTGCAATGCAGAAACAAAAACTGCAACGCAGGTCTTCGCCAATATGCGCGGCCGCCTCGCGGCCACGAGCGGCTCGCTAACCCGGGTCAGCCAGAGGGGGTCTTCGCAGGATCCTGCAGGATCTGGTGCCCTGGCTGACCCCCGTTTGCATTGACCCGCGTCTCGAGGCTCCCGATCGACGAACGCCCACCATTCCCTTCCGGGACCGTGGCGGAAACGACCAGCGGCTCGAAGCACGAAATGCATGCAACCAGAAGGAGGAGGAGGAGGAGCAGGAGGAGGAGGAGGAGGAGAGAGGAAAGAGGAGGGAGGAGGGTGAGGGATAACGAGGACAGAACCGCTCGCAGCTGTAGGTACCCCCCTCTACGCACCAATTCCGCCTACAACTTAATCGCAAGACCTCGGTCGTCCACACCGTGTTGTCGTATCCCTCCGCTGTCCCTCCCCATTCCAGCCCTACCCTGAACCTGGGAGTCAGTTCCCTCACTGTACCCGCCGCATTGGCCAAGGACAGGGGACATCGATGGGACAGGACCCCTCTTAACAAATCCGACACCAGCGTCAAGCGTGGAGGAGGGAAAAGGAGGAGGAGCAGGCGAAGCACGAGGCGAAAGAGGGAAAGGGATGAGCAAGAGAGACAGAGGGAGGAGAAGGAGGAGGAAGGCAAGAGAGGAGGAAGACAAGGAAGGAGCGAGAGGGAGAGGCAGGAGGAGGAGGAGGAGGAGGAGGAGGAGGAGGAGTGAAAGAGAGGAGGAGGGCACGAGCGGAGAGGGGAGAAGAGGGGAAGATGTAGAAGGGAAGGGGGAGGGGAGAGGAGGAAGGAGGGGGTAGGGAAGGAAGGGGGGGTAGGGAAGGGGGAGGGAAGGGGGAGTGGAGAGGAGGGGGGAGGGAAGGGGGAGGGAGGAAGACGAGGGGGAAGAGGGGGGGGGAGTGGAGACGGGAGACGGAAAGGATATGCAACAGCATCCCCTCCTGAAGCCGTCCTTGCCGCCGCCTTTCCTGGAGCCGTCCTTGCCGTCTTTGCCGCCCTTCCGGATCGCACGCTGGAATTGGAGGAGGGACTCCGGATCCTCAGAGGAGAAGAAGGGAGGTGGAGGAACATCGGGTGGGAAGGGAGGCCTTGGGGCGTTGGTGTCATATATCCTTTTGCTGCGTCCTGCAGGGCCCTCGTCACCGCGGCTATATCCGCTTGGACATCATGGTCGCAGCGCGCTCCGAGACAAGTCCAGAGGTCCACTGCGAGGTGGGGGGGGATTTGCGCGCGCGAAGGATGCCCCACTGGCAGCCCAAGACGGGGGGCAGGAAGGAGATGGGGAATGCGGAGGAGGGGAGAGAGAAGGGAGGGCGAGCAGGAGGGAAGGTCAAGGAGGGAGGGGGAGGGGGAGGGAAGGGAGGGGAGAAGGAGAGGGAAGGTCAAGAAGGGAGAGGGGGAGGGGGAGGGGGAGGGAAGGTCAAGAAGGGAGAGGGAGAGGCAGGAGGAGAAGGGAGAGGGAGGAGGAGGGAAGGTCAAGGATCCAGAGCTTTGGCTGTTCGGGGTGCCCTTCGGGACCTCGAGGAGGGCCTTCGCCTGCCACGGCCTGGGTATTCCTCTCATGTTTTGCCAGGCCGACGGGGGGCGAGTGAGCAGAAACAGGCAGGGCAGGCGAGCGGAGGGGGGGGGGCGGGGAGGGCGAAAAAGGGTGGAACGAAGGCGAAGACGAGGACGAGAAGGATGGGGAGAGGGGGGAGGAAGAGGCAGGCAGGGAGGATGGAGCGGAGAGGGAAGAAGGAGGACAAGGAGGGTGAGGACGACGACGACGACGACGACGACGACGACGACGACGACGACGACGACGACGACGACGGTGGCAAGGAAGGAGGACGAGTGGCAGACAGAGAGGCAGAAGCAGGGAGAGGTCAGACAGAAAAGGACTAGGAACACGACGAGGGGTAGGGGGCAGAGAGAGGGGAACGACGACGATGACAACGATGAGCAGGCTGTAGAGGAAGAGAGCGAGGACGAGGAAGAGGACAACGACCAAGACGACGCTGGCGACGATGGAGACAGTGACGACGACGACGACGACGACGACGACGACGACTACGACGACGTCATCGACGACAACATACGACGATGACCCCCATCAAAAGTCGACCCCTGGGTCCTTCATGGAGCGCATTTTGACCTAAGCCGACCGGGCGATACGACCGATGCGACGAGACGTCTCCGAGAGCCAAATCATCCACGAAGCTCGGCGACGACGTCGACGGCGGCGACGACGACCGATGACGACGACCGACGACAGCGACGACCGACGGCAACGACGACAATCGACGACCACGACGACGCGACAACGCGACAAGGATGAACGAAGCCGACGGCGACGATCAGAACAGAACCTCGACGACGACGACGACTGACCACGATGACGACGACGCCGGCCGGCGACGATCGACGACGACGACGACGGCGACGGCGACGGCGACGGCGACGGCCACTGCGACGGCGACGGCGACGGCGACGACGACGACCGACGGCGACGACGACGTCAACAACGGCCCGACGGCCCAGTCCCCAGGGGCGTTTCCCGCTCTGCTGGCCCCGGGGCCAGGACACCGAGGCAACGCGCAGGGACTGCCAAGATTTGAGCAGGGACCGACCGTCCCGGCGTTTCTATAGTCCTGCCAAGAAATGTTCTTAGAACCTAAGAATGTTCGAATAACAAAAACAACGTTCTTAGAACACAAACCCGATGTGATAAAACACGACAGACTCCGCCAGAAATGTTCTCAGAACATTTCGTGGAAACCACAAAAGGTTCTTAGAACATTGTTTGGTAGGGCTATATGCAAGCAAGGACGCTTCGCCACTGCTTGAAGGACGACGTCCGCAGGGCATCCGGCGAGGTGACGAGGACCGACGACCCGCGGCCGACGGCCTCCCGGCCGACAAAGCCGGCGCCGAGCCCCGGCGGCGCGCGCAAGGGGGTAGGGTTATGTCGGGCCTGTCCCCCTACAGGGGGATTTTGGGCTAAAAAAAAAAAAAAACACTCCAAATAGTCCAGAAATCGTCCCCGTACTATTTTGTCGACTATGTTTGAATGTTCCTCCTGTAGAGGGACAGGCCCGACTTAAAGGTAGGGGGAGGGGGGAAGGCTTCTTAGACGGAGGCCGCTCCTCAGAAAGCGCCTGGCATACATCTTCTGGGAAGCAGCCTTTTTCTGAGAAGCCCTCCCCCCGTTCTCCCCTTGTGCGCACCGCCAATCCCGGATCGGGTCCGTGCAGACGGGTTCGGAGGACCGCGCTGCATCGCCCATGCAGCGGCGACGCATCGGAAAACATCGGCGCTGCGGCGGCGACGCAGGCGTGGAGAAAATCGGGATCCGCATCGCGACGCATCGCCGGTACATGGGAGATGCGGCATGATCCTCCGACCCCCTCTACCGCCGGGGGCTTGACCTAAGGAACCCAAAATAAGGAACGAGGCCCCTTTTTTCCATGAGTTAAACTTCGATTTCCGATCGAAAACATAAGGAAAACCTGAGGCAAACTGCGAAACACTTGAGGAACGCGGAGGCCCTCCCCAACGAAAAGGGTTCCTTCTTCAGGGCCCCGACTGTACTCGGACCCCGCGTGGCTGGAAGACGGCGGCCGCGGTCCTCGGCGCGGCGCTCGCCGCGGTTCCCGCGGGGAGGCGCCACGACCCGCGGCGAGGCGCCTATGGGCGCCGCCTGCGGCGGAGCGGCCCGTCGGTCTGTCGATCGGTCTGCCGTCGGTCGTCGTCGGTCGTCGCCAGCCGTCGTCGTCGGTCGTCGTCGGCGTCGTCGGCCGTCGGTCGTCGTGGTCCATCGTCGTCAACGTCCTTCCTCGGCTCCTCCGCCTCCTTGTTCTCCTCCTCCTTCTCCAACTCCTCCCTCGGCGCCCACCTCCTCCCTTCTCCTCTTCCCCCTGCTCTGGGCCCTTGCCTCAAGTAAAAAACAACAATAGCCATCATGTTGCGTGGAGGGCTTCCCCGTACTCCATCATCCTTCTCATCACCATCATTAGCATCACCATCATCATCACCAGCATCGTCATCATCCACATCATCAACACAGTTGCCATCCTCATCATCAACAGCAGCAGCCGAATTGCCATCCACGCTGACATAATCAGCATCGTCGCCATCATCAGTATAATCATCAATATGATCAGCATCATCATCCTCACAAGCAGCATCATCAGCATCATCAGCGTCATCAGCATCAGCCTCCTCCTCATCATCATGATCATCAGCATCATCAGCACCCCCTATCAGCATAATCATCATCAGCTGCATAATCAGCACCCTCTGTATCGTAACCTCCATCCTCATTACAGCAGCACCACCATCATTAACATTATAGAAGCAGCAGCATTGGCGTTATCCTCATCATCATCACAACCATTATCATCCTCATCATCATCCGCATCATGATTATCGTCATCGGCCGCAGAAGCATCACCAGCATGGCCGTCATGATCAGCATCATCATCAGGACAATCAGCATCAGCAACATCAGTAGCATCCTCATTATCATCCCCATCCCTATCATACTCCTCATCAGCAGCATCAGCAGCAGCAGCGGCATCAGCAACATCATCATCATCATCATCACCATCCCCATCACCATCACCATCACCGTGACCATCATCATCACCATCACCATCGCCGTCGTCATCACCGTCACCGTACCATCATCAATATATCAAAAAACAATCAGTAAATAAATCAACTGATCCATCAGTCAACTCATCAATCAATCAATCCATCCATCCATCCCATCAATCAATCATCACCCTATGCGCTCGAGAAAGAAGACTCCTCCCATGCGGGTGAGGCCTTGTCGAAGTCCCTGGGGGCCATGTCCCAGTCTCCTCGGCCACCCTTCTGACCTCGCGCGCCGCACCAGCCTGATCCTCTCCCTGGCCCAGAACGAAGGCACTATGAAGGTAAATCCGGATGAGGATACAGTCAACACGTATGGAAAGGATGAAAGACCCTCAGACGTCAAATTTGAACGTCTTCGGACGTCTAAATGGGTTCGACGAGGGTCGAAAAGCAAGGATGCAACGGCAGCCTTGCAAAGTACTGCGCCCTTGCTAGCTTTTTATTGTAAATCGGCGATCTCTCAAAGCCCGCGGGTCTTGAGGATGTGCCGGGCGCCGCGGCCCGTCCTGGAGCTCTGCAGGAGGCTCGGGGAGCGTTGCGAGAGGCCGTGGAAGGAGCTTCCTCCTTCTGGTCGGGGAGACGTAAGACCCGGGTACGGGGGACTCGGAAATCCCCGACGAGGTCGTCAAAAAATGACGAGGCCGAGCCTGCATTTTGACGAGGCCTCCCGCTGCAGACATCCCACGAAACCCCTCCTCGTCAAAATCCGAGGCGCGGTCGTCAAAAAACGATGGCGAACCCGAGTCCTGGCAAACCCGGGTCTTACGCTCCCCCGATTCTGGGCCTGCCTGAATAAGTGCCGGAGGATCTTCAGTCCCGCAGCGGCGCGGTGATAGACCGCGCGGTGACCTCGAACTCCCCCAAGACCTCACCGCACGGTCCGCCACCGCACGGTCTTGGGACCCCGGAGGCCCCTGTCGCCCGACACGTCCTCGGAGAACGAACCGAGTCCCAAAACCGTGCGGTGACCCCGAGTCCCCACCGACTCACCGCACGGCGTGGTCACCGCCCCGTCGGGGGGCCCCCGAGTGGAGGCAGTTCGACGAAGAGCAGGAACGAGCGAGCGAGCGCCCGAGCTGCGCGCGCCCCGGAAGGGAGCCCGCGCGGGCATACCAGGGCATGGTGGTGGAGCAGATTTTTGTTGCTGAGCTCCACGCTCCCATCGAAGACCTCTCAGCGAGGACCAGTCGCCCACCTGCTAAGATGAAGAGTGGTGGTGAAGCAGAGTCTGGCCTCGACTCCGCGGGCGCGGTCACTGTGGGCTCCTCCGCCTCGCTCCAGGCACTGGCCCGGGCCGCTGGAGGAGGGGCGCCCAGCCCAGCAAAGGGGGAGGAGGCGGGCGAGCAGCAGGAGCAGCGAGGAGAGGGAAGGGCCCAAGGTCCCACACGACCCCAGGAGGCAAGCTCCCGTGCAGAGCCCCCTTCACAGCTGCACCCGGCCCAGACGGTGCACGCGCACGCGCTCTCGTGATACCCTCAGCGGTTTTGGCCCCAGCGGTCGTTGGTAGAAGAAGAAAAAGCCACATACACATAAACTTTTGGCGCAGGCGCGGATCCAAGAAATCCGCGCGGAGCGCCAAAAGTTTATGTTTATGTGCTTGTTGTTCTTCTTCGAGTTGGGGGAGAGGGTGGACGTAGAGGGTCGCGGGCAAGGCTGCGGCCCCTCTCTGCACATGCCGAAGCGACTTCGCTTCCCCGATGCGTTGTACCCCTACAGGAGGAGGAGGAGGAGGAGGAGGAGGAGGAGGAGGAGGAGGAGGAGGAGGAGGGGGAGGGGGAGGAGGAGGAGGGAGGAGGAGGAGGAGGAGGAGGAGGAGGAGGAGGAGGAGGAGGAGGAGGAGGAGGAGGAGGGCAAGTTTCTCGGGCCCTACACGTACGGGCTAGCGGGGAGCGCCGCCGAGGGTAACTTCGGGGCGTGCCGCGGTTCTCTACAGATATGTCTGCTGCTCCTCGTGCCCCCACCCCGTTTCTGCTCTCTGCTCTGTCGGGGGCGGCCAAGAGGGGGGCGTCCAAGAGGGGGGGTGCAAATCATGGCCGGCGGCATGTGCGCAGCTCAGGGGGGTGGGGCATGGACGTAATGAAATCCGCCGATCCAGCGTGTGAGTTTAAGAAAGCTACAACCTCAGCTTCAGCTCTGCTGGGGGGGGCCGGGGGGGCTCTGCCGGGGTAGGGGGGGGAGGGGGGGGGAGTGGGCCAAGAGGCCTCCAAGACGCCTCAAGGAAATCCCAAGAGGACCCCCAAGAGGGCCCCAAGAGGGTACAATAATAAAGTTGCTGATAGGTTTTGAAGCATTTTAGCATTATCGCCTTTTCCGTCTTAGAAGCGCCGAAGACGGTCCAAGAAGCCCCCAAGATCGCCCCAAGACAGCCCAAGAGGCGCCCAAGAGGAGCCAAGACGGTCCAAGAGGGCCCCTAAATAGCCTTGGATGCCCCCCAAGACGACCCCGAGAGGCCCCCAAGATGGCCTCAAGAGGGTGAATCCGAACGGACCCTGCTAGTTCTCCACCCCAAGATGACCCCAAGAGCCCCCAAGATGCCCCCGAGGCGCCCCCAAGGGGCCCCCAAGAGGTCCCCAAGAGGTCCCCAAGAGGCCCCCAAGAGGACCCCGAGAGGCCCCCAAGAGGCCCCAAAGGCACCCAAGAAGCCCCAAGAACCAAGAGGCCCCAAGAGGCTCTCACTCGCGTGCTGCCAGGCCAGAGGTGCACGGCCTGATTTGGTATGCTCGGAAGCGAAGGCGATGAACGAAGAACCTTTAACCCGTCGCCGTCACCAGTCGTCGGTCGTCGGCCGTCGACAGCCGTTCGCCGTCAGTCGTCGTCGTCGTCGTCGTCGTCGTCGTCGTCGTCGTCGTCGTCGTCGTCGCCGCCGTCGTCATTCCGTCGTCATTAACTCCTTCGTCGGTCGTCGTCGTAATTATCCCGCTCGTCGACCGTTGGTCGTCCGTTGTCGTCATCGTCCGGAGCGCCCCGGATCGGCGGCACTGGCCGGAGGCCACTACAATTCGCCGGCCCAACGGGCCAGAGGCGTGCTAAGATCTCCGGTACCTACTTAACAATATTTCTAATTCGCGCGCGCGGGGCGGCCCCTGGGGGTCCCCCGGCGAAAAGTACCCCGACCGCAGCCCGGGAAGGTCTACTCAGAGATGGTTTTCCTCCTGGGTACGGCCTCTCAGGCCCACCAGAGCGCGCCAAGAGGGCCCCAAGAGGCCCCCAAGACTGCCCAAGAGGCCCCCGAGACGCCCAAAGGACGCTCCAAGACGCCGAAGATGATCCCAAGACGGCCCAAGAAGCCGCCAAGACGCTCCAAGTGGCCTCCAAGAGGCCTCACAAGAGCACCCCGAGAGGCCAAAATCATTGATTTTACATGGTTTGGGAAGGATTTTGGCCTTGTCGCATTTTCGGCTTACCGATGCTCCAAGACGGCCCAAGAGGCCCCCAAGAGCGCACGAAGACGGCTCAAGAGGCCCCCAAGAAGGCCCCCCGAGAGCCCAAACGGGCCCCGAGACGGCCCAAGAGACGCCCAAGACGGCCCAAGAGAGCCCCAAGACGGCCCCAAGAGGGGCCCAAGATGGGGACCACGAACCGAAACCTCAAGCCTTCCGCCCCAAGAGGGCCCCAGGAGGCCCCGAGAGGCCCCCAAGATGGCCCAAGATGCCGCCAAGAGGCCCCCAAGAGACCCCAGGAGGCTCCAAGGAGGCTCAAAAGAGGCCCTACAAGGCTTCAAAAATGTCTCCCGGGCGCCCCCGAACGGCCTCTCAACAGACCCCAGGGCCTCCCAAAGAAGCATCTGGACGACGGCCCTGTTTGGCCACAAGAGTCACAAGAGCGCCGCAAGATGCCATCGAGAGGCTTCCTCCTCCGCCCTTTTCTCTTCCTCCTCCTCCTCATATTTACCTTCATCCTCCTCCGCTCCTTCTCATCCTCTTCTCCTCCTCCCCTCCCCCTCCCCATCCTCATCTTCCTCCTTCCGGCGGCGCCGAAATGGCCCCGAGCCCGCGCCGAAGCAGTAGCGATCATGCAATACGGGCCGGCGGAGTGAGCGAAGCGATTGAATAAAAAGAGGCGCCATGAAATCTGGGGAAATATCATGGCCCAAGCCATGACATCACCCCCCCCCTATTCATCACCCCCCTCTCGGCCGCCCCTTACTCTTGCATGCCACTGTGCGGGCACCCCGGGCATGTGTCTTCCGGGTATGTGCGCAGGTGGGGGGGGAAGGAAAGAATGTTGGGCGAGAGGGGTGAGGATTCCAGACGCCTTTGAACGTGTTGTCCCCGTTGGGAGCCTCTGGAGGCCTCTGAAGAGAGAGACCTGGGGAACATGGAGGAGATGCAGCGAGGGAGGGCGGAACGAGCGGGGAGAGGGGAGGAAGGGAGGGAGGAGAAGGGAGTGAGGAGAGGGGGAGAGGCACGAGGAAGAAGGAAAGAAGGGGAAGGGGGATGAGCAAGCGAGGAGGGGGGAGGGAGAAGAGAGAGGGAGCGAAGAGACAGGAGATGGGAGGGTGGAGGGAAGACGAGGACGAGCGAGGGAAGGGAGAGTGGAAGAGGAGGCAGCGGAGGAGAAAATGGAACGCACATCGCTGCGCAGCGTGGCCCGCGACCGACGACGCGCTCTGGAATCATGCCTGTGCCTCCTGCGCCAACGCAAGGAGGCCCCGCGCGGCGTTGCAGCAGGGGCCATCCGAGGCGCACCCCCCCTGCCATTGATAGAAGGGAACGATCATGGAGAAACACACCCGCCCCCCGCCGAGCGCGGCGGCTGCAGCGACGGGCGACGGGCGAGGGCCGCGGGCGCGGCACGCCCCAGGCAGCGGGCCTCTGCTCTTGCCGGCCCCCTTCGGCTGTCCCTTGGCGCCTGCGCGGCTCCGCGCGGGGGCGGCTTGCAGGGGGGGCAGGGCAGGGAAGGAGACGACGGCGACGGGACAGGAGCGGATGAGAAGGACCAGGGCATCATCCCTTTCCACCTCCTCCTCCTCCTCCTCCTCCTCCTCCTCCTCCTCCTCCCCCTCCTCCCCATCCTCGCCCTCCTCCTCCTCCTCCTCGTCCTCCTCCTCCTCCTCCTCCTGCTCCTCCTGCTCCTGCTCTTCCTGCTCCTCCTGCTCCTCCTTCCTCCTCTCCTCCTCCTCCTCCTCCTCTCCTCCTCTCCTCCTCCTCCTCCTCCTCCTCCAACTCCTCCTGCTCCTCCTGCTCCTCCTCCTCATCCTCCTAATCCTCCTTTTCCTCCTCCCTCTCTCCTCCTCCTCCTCCTCCCTCCTCCTCCTCTCCTCCTCCTCCTCCTCCTCCTCCTCCTCTTCCTCCTTTTCCTCCTTCTCCTCCTCCTCCTCCTCCTATTTACTTGTGTGTCCCAGTTCCCCTTCATAGTGGATCGCACGCGCTGTACGACACCATTTTCCCACATGGCCCACTCTGCTGACGACTCACTTCCCGCCGCCGTCAACCGACCTCCGGCAGGCGGACTCGCCGCCGCTTTGATTCCGCCAGCCTTCCGCCGCCGGAGGCGAGACGCTCTCAAAAGCGAACGAAGCCCTTCCTGGAGTGCGCCGTCCGGCTGTGGTAGTCATTTCATCATCATCATCATCATCATCATCATCATCATCATCATCATCATCATCATCATCATCATCATCATCATCATCATCATCATCATCATCATCATCATCATCATCATCATCATCATCATCATCATCATCATCATCATCATCATCATCATCATCATCATCATCATCATCATCATCATCATCATCATCATCATCATCATCATCATCATCATATCATCTCATCATCATCATCATCATCATCATCATCATCATCATCATCATCAGCATCAGCATCATCATCATCATCATCATCATCATCGTCATCGTCATCATCATCATCCTCATTCTCATCCTCATCCTCATCCTCATCCTCATCATCATCATCATCATCATCGTCATCATCAGCATCCTCGTCATCATCATCATCATCATCATCATCATCATCATCGTCATCATCAGCGTCATCATCATCCGCATCATCATCATCATCATAAGCAGCAGCAGCGGCATCAGCATCATCAGAATCAGCATCAACATCATCAGCATCACCAGCATCACCATCACCATCAACATCACCATCATCATCATCAGCATCAGCATCAGCATCATCAGCATCGTCATCATCATCAACAGCATCAGCATCAGCATCAGCATCAGCATCAGCATCATCATTATCATCATCATCATCATCATCATCATCATCATCATCATCATCATCATCATCATCATCATCATCATCCATCATCATCATCATCTGCAGCAGCAGCAGCAGCATCAGCCGTAGCCGCATCCTCGTCAGCGCCATCATAGTCCCCATCGTCAGCAGCAGCAGCAACAGCATCATCATCCTTCTCCTCCCCCTCATCCTCACTCCTCGTCCTCGTTGTCGTCCTCCTCCTAAGTCATCCTCCTCCACCTCCTGCATCACGCCTCCGCAGTCCGCCCTTCCCATCGTGTTCTCCTCCTCCATCCTCCTCCTCCTCCTCCTCCTCCTCCGCCTCCTCCTCCTCCTCCTCGTTCGTCCCCTCATTCCTCGTCCTCTTCGTCAGCCCTCCCTCCTCAATCACCCTCTTCCTCATACTCCTCCTCCTCATCCTCCTCGGATGGGGAGGGGAGGAGCACCTCTGTCGTGCCCCAGCGTCACGGTCGGGCGGAGCATGCCATCGCCTCCCCATCCGAAGCGAAGGCGAAGCAGAGAAGGCGAGGAAGAGAAGGAGGAAGAGAAGGCGCGGAAGTGAAGGCGAGGAAGAGAAGGCGAGGAAGAGGAGGCGGAGGGTGAGATGGAGACAGGCACGGAGGAGGAAAGGGGGGAGAAAGACGAGGCCCTCATGCTCCTCATCGTCATCATGTTCCCTCCTCTCTTCATCCCCGTCCTCTTCCTCTATCCTCCCCACCTTCCTCCCCGCCATCCGTCGTCCCCTCCACCTCCTCAGCATCAGCATCGGTGCCACTATCTTCTGCATCGTCTTCATCGGTGACAGCATGACACTCACACGCGCCACGAACACATCGCTATCACGAACGTCGTAGCTATCACGGTAGTCATAGTCATCCACATTTCGACGTCGACATCACACCCTCATCCTCGTCGTCCTCGTCGTCAACATTAGCAGAAGCGTACACATCGTCACCCAAAGCATAATCGCCATCCGCAGCAGCATCATGATCAGCATCGTAATCGTCCGCATCATCCTCGTCAATATTGTCATGATCGACGTTGTCCCCCGCATCGTCATCCTCAGTATCATCAGCATCAGCAGCAGCAACATCATCAGCATCAGCATCGTCATCATCACCCATACCAGCATTGACAACATCCTCATCATCAGTGTCAACATCGCCAAACTCACCATCACTATTACCATCGGATCAGCAGAATGGTCGTCATCGTAACCGGCATCATCATCATGCTCATCATCATCATCATCATCAGCAGCAGCAGCATCAGCAGTATCATCAGCATCATCATCGGTATCGTCATCATCATCATCATCATTATCATCATCAACAACATCATCATCAGCATCATCATCATCAGAAGCAGCATCATCATAATGCGTAGCGTCGCCATCGGTGTCATAATCCTTGGCGTCATCAACATCACCACCACGACTATCATCATCCGCATCATCATCATCAGCAGCAGCATCATCAGCAGCATCACCAACATCATCAGCATCGTAACCATAATCATCAGCATCGGCATCATCATCGTCATCATCATCACCATCATCAGCATCACCATCATCATCATCAGCATCATCACCATCCTCATCACGGCCATTATTGTCATCGGTATCGCCCCCGTCATCGCCATCGTCACCATCGTCGCCATCGTACCATCATTAACGTCATCATGATCCGTATAGATGTATATGTGTTTAGACATGTATAAACATATATAAATCCCCGTCACTCTCGTCCTCCTCCTCCTCCTCCTCCTCCGCCTCCGCCTCCGCCTCCGCCTCCTCCGCCTCCTCCGCCTCCTCCTCCCTTCGCGCCGTGACTGTGCCGCCATACCGACGAAGTGAGGCGCGGCCACGACGCGCCCGCGCACGAGGCTGCCCACGGCGGGCCAGGAGAGCCCACCGCAGAGCGGGCGGGCCTGGCTCTCACGGCTTGGCATCGGCCAGTGGCCTCAGGCCAGCCTGACTCGCCAAGGAGTGCACGTCGATGCCCTTCATGAGCTGCTTCATGTCCGCGGCGGGACCAGCTAGCAGACCCTCCTCGCCGAACATGGGGACCCTCGCGAAAGGTTTGCCGCCAGTGGACACGCCTTTCGCCCCGAGGCTCTTGCGCAGGAGGGGCATGCCCACGACGAGCATCGTCGGCCGTGCCCTGAGCACGAAGACCTGCTCCTTCGGGACCGGGTACGGGATCTGCACCGCGAAGGACTCCTTGATGACCTTCTGCTGCAGGGCGCCAGACTCCCTATCCCTCCTGCCAGTGTCGGCGGCGCTGCCAGAGCGCTTGGCGAGCCTCCGCAGCGCCGGGAGCGCGCGGTTGACCTCCCCCTTCAAGATAGGGTCGTCGCCGCCCGCAGCCTCCGCGAGGAGCCCCAGCTTGACCGAGATCGCGCGCGGCTTGGTGTTGTTCTTAGCCAGGTGCACCTGCGCCAGGGAGTCCAAGGCAGAGCGGATCAGCACACTCACCTCGTCGTCCTCTTCCGTATCCAGCCAGGTGTGCAGCTTGGACACCAGCAGGCTCTCGTTCTCCCCCGCCTCGTCCTTGATCGCATCCACGATCAGCTTGTACTTTTTCACTGCGTTCGTCTCTGGCTCGTCCTGTGGCTTCTCCGTCACTACCACAAGCAGGGAGTCGCCATTGGACAGAATCTTGCACTGCTCGACTGGTATGTCCCCGGGGATGTCCAGAGGCAAAAATCCACCACCGCGTTTGCAGCGGTTGGTTTGCGCTGGTTTCGCTTCCTGCGACACAGCAAGTCGGTCCCCCGACGTATTGGTCCCCCGACGTATTGAGCCCAACATGCGCTCATGCGCGGGACCAGGTCTCCGCACGTGTTCGCCGTCAGAGCAACTCAGGGCGCCAGAACCAGACGCCGCGGGCAGGAGAAGCCGTGGCACCCGCCGTCAAATCCACAAAGGGTGCCACGTCCAGACGTGAAGGGAGGAAGATCCGTGGCATCCGCCCCCCCCCGCCCCGCCCCGCCCCGCCCCCCCCCGTGGCGCGCCCCCATGCCATCCCACGAGCCTTTCCACCCTCCTTCGGGCACCCGCCCGAGCGCGGGGGCTGCTTTTGTTGGCGTGCACGTCCACCGCCTGGGGGAGGCGAGGCCTTGGGACCCCACCGCGATCTCCGTCTAGGGTCTGCGGGTGCTGGGCGTCGGCGCCCTCACGGCCCCGGGCGTGCCCACAGTGGGCAGCAGAGCGGTGGTCAAACAACGACCACGGAGCCGAGAACGGGGCGTCTGTCGTCCGGGAAGCCGCAGCGGTCATCATGGAACAGGTGGGGGCGGGGGCATGCGGAACCAGCTGGGGCAATTCGCTATGCTTCGGGTGCGTGGACCCCGGGGTCGCGCAGGAGGCGTTGAGGCTGCCTGGGCTGCAGGCCGCGCTGCGGACCATCTCGGGCACGCAGTGGACGGCACAGAAGAGGTCGCTGCAGCTGGACGGGCCAGGCTGCCAGAGCCGGGACGGGTGGGCGGGCCCCTCCCCCAGGGAGACCCACGATCCCCGCTGGCGCTCGAGGCGCATGCAGCGGCGCTGCAGGCGGAGTTCACTCTCTGCGTGGACGACAGGACGTGCACAACACCCGCGCTCCCAGGGCTCTGTACGGCCGCAGAGGGGATGGATTAGAATTCTGGGTCTTGTCTTAGCTCGGGCATATCCCCCTACAGGCGGATGTTGGACGAAAAAACGACAAAAACAATAATACTATAACATATTCCAAAACTGACAAAATTAATAGAACAGTCGCCCCCATCATATTGTTTGACATTGTTTCAACTTTCCTCCTGTAGAGGGGCATGCCCGACTTACGTCTTGTCAAGAAGAGCGGAGGCAAACAGCAGGCGACGCCGAGCAGGCGCAGCCAGCAGCTGCAGCACGGGGCTGCCGCGGACAGGATCCGCGACAGCAGAGGAAGAGAGCACAACTGCGTAAGCACACAAGCTTGCGGAGGTTCACGCGGGCAGTCGAAAGTTGGATGCTGCTGCAGCTTCTCCACGCGAGGCCACTTGGAGGCTCTGGGCCTGAAGCTCACGGGAGGCCCGAAGCGGCCTGGGGTAAACTTGGGTCTGGCGTGTCCTCCTACAGGCGGGCTCTGGACGAACAATTTCGAAAACATGCTCAACAGTAGTCTTAGGTCGGGCCTGCCCCCCTCAGGGGGATATTAGACGAAAAATGAAAAATACTCAAAAATACCCAACATATGCCCAAAGATACTAAAAACAGACTCCCCAGACTATCTTTCAGAATATTTCCACTGTAGAGGGACAGGCCCGACTTAACAATAGTCAGGCAAATCCCCACAACTCGTCCCCAGACCATGGTTCTTCTGTTTTTGAGCATGCCTCCTGTAGAGGCACGTGCCCGACTGACGAGGAGACGAGCGCCGCACCAGAGCGCTGCGGCAGGCGCGCCACACGGAGCGCCCGGCCCCCCCCCCCCCCCCGCAGCCGCCAGGCCTGCGAGCGCGGGGCCGGCGGCGGGGCCCGGCAGCTTGCCATCGCTCGCACGTCCGCTCCGACGTGCATGTCTCGGCTTCGTGCGTGATTTTCTGCGCTAGACTTTAAGTCGGGCCTGTCCGCCTACAGAAGGATGTTCGACGAAAAATCAAAAATACCCCCAAAATAATCAAAAAACAATCCAAAAATAGTCTGGGGACTATGTTTTGAATATGTTTGACCTTTTGGGGGTATTTTGGGGGCATGCTTTATGTTTCGTCGAAAATCCCCCTGTAGGGGGACACGCCCGACTTAATGCTAGACATGCGAGGCGGTGGTTTACCCATATCCACCGCCTGGGAACCGACGTCCTGGTGCCCTGGCGGGCGGTGGACATGGATACATGTTGGCCCCCGGGGGCCCGAATATGTCCATGTCCACCGCCTGCCGAGATCCCCGGAAATCGATCCTCCAGGCGGTGGTCATGTATAAATTCCTGCCTCGGAAGGTGGTCCAGCATGCTCCTCAATGGTCCTGGCCGAGAAAAACAGGCGCACGTCCGAGCGATGCCAGGTCACTGGGCGAGCAAGGAGGTCATGATGCGATTGGCTCTGAGCACGTTCCAAGACCTTCCAAATCCCCTCGTGTCTGGAAGCCATGCGGATCAAAGGCCCCGCGGGGGACACCCGGGTGGGGTCCCGGGTCAGAATACCACCCCTCGGGAGAATCCCGGGGCGTCGTCGTCGTGGTCGTGGTCGTGGTCGTGGTCGTGGTCGTGGTCGTGGTCGTGGTCGTCGTCGTCGTCGTCGTCGTCGTCGTCGTCATCGGTCAGGGTCGACGACACCGGCGGTAAGGCCTCTCCAATACGTTCCAAACATTCTGGAGTTCCTCGTTTCTGGAAACCGTGCGGAGCATGTGGGAAATCGGGGAAATGCGGGGAATCTCGGAAGACTTGGGGAGCGCCTCGTCGGTTTTCTTCGTGTATATTGGATGTTATTATGCATCCCAGGGGGGGTACCCGTGGATGTTCTGAGAAGTGGTTCTCTGCGCCTTCCCCGCAGACACAAACAAAAACTTCTCTCAGAGGGAGCGAGGGCTTCTGAGAAGTTCCACCGCCTTCCGAGAAGGCCTTCTGCTTCTCACTTCCCCCTGCTCGCTCGCCGCCAAAGGGAGGAAGGAGGGAAGGCTCAGGGCAGGAAGGCGGAAAGGGAAGAAAGGCACCCGCTGCACAAGACAAGAGGGAGGCTGCGGAGGGAGGGAAGACGCCCAGTACCACCGTGCAGGGAACGAGATCTGCAGCCAGATTATCTCGACGGCCCGTTTACTTCAACCCGTGCAGAGATCTCACGGCTAGGTTTACGTAGGTCAGGCGTGTCCTCCGAATCGTCAAACAAATTCAAAGGTAGCAACAAATTGTCACAAAATCGTCTCCTGATTGATTGTTCTTAATTTTGCATATTTCTCCTGCAGAGGGGCACGCCCGACTTAACGCTAGGTGGTATGTCCGGATATGTTTGGGCCCCAGGGGAAAGCCCAAACATGTCCTTGCCCACCAACGCCCGAGGTCCGGGAAGATCGGTGCCCTTGGCAGCGGACAGGGATAAATGACAGCCTCGGAGCGGCTAACTCGCGCGGCAGCGCAGCTGAACAGAAAGCTGCCCTCCTCGTCCGTCAGCCACTCCCCTGGCATTAGGTCGGGTGTCCTCCTACAGGGGGGTTGTTGAACGACAAATTCAAAAGAGTCCCAAAGTACTCCAAAATGGCACACGTAAAAAAGTAATATGAAAACATGTTTTTTACTACTTTTGAATATTCCTCCTGTAGAGGGACGTGCCCGACTTGACCCTGGCAACTCCCCCCCACCCCCCGCGCCGATGGCGCCTCCCCCACCCCAAGCCCTCTCCCTCCCTCCACCAGTCGGGGGCGCGCAAACATGAATTAGCGATCCATGGATTTGGCGGGCGGTCGCCAAATCCATATCGGGGGAGGTGCCCTCCCCAAAATGCGGCCGGTGCCGCCTCGCTCGGCGGCGGAAATCCGCGATTTCCCATGGAAACGGGACCCGTCGCTAATCCACGCCCTCTTGATCCACATTTGCGACCGCCTGACCCAGGCGCCTGCCCGATCGCGGTGGCGGGGTCGCGCGGCAGCGCACAAGGACAGAAAGCTGTCCTTCGGAGGCCACCTGGATGGGGTCCGAGTAGACGGGGTCGGAGGATCTCGCCGCATCGCCGATGCATCGGCGGTGCACTGGCGACGTCGGCGATGCATGGGCGACGTCGGCGTGAAGGAAAGTGGGCCCCACACCAAGCCGCATCGGCGAGGCGTCGCCGATGCATCGGCGATGCGGCACGATCCTCCGACCCCGTATCCTCCGACACCCATCTCTAGGAGGCCCAGATCCTTCTCGTCCGTCAGCCACTCCCCCGGCACGACGATCTCTGGAACCACGACGCCGGCAGGCGGGGCCGCTCGCCCAACGCGGCCCGCGGCACAGAGCCACGGCGCCGCGGCGGCCCAGAAGAGCGCCACCGCCCACCCGGAGGGCGGGCTGGGCGGCTCCTTCATTTACGCTGGCGGTGGGCCGAGTCCTGGACAAGACGAAGGCAAGATGAGCACAAATCTGGATGAGGATAAAATCAGAGGAGGAAAAGGTACCCATACCTCTACCATTGCCTCGCTTTCCCCTTGTTGGGCCTCCTGGGCGGCCCTCGTCGCCACCGCTGAATTCGCCCCGAAATCCTGGTCAGAACGCACCCCAGGAGAGGTCCAGGGAATGGCGGTATCGGTACCTTTCGGTTTCCCCATAAAAATGAATGAGGATGTGTCCAGCGACTGGGCGGTTCCAGCGCGCTCCAGAATCTTCTGAGGGCGTTCCGGAACGCTGTGGAGAGATTAATCCTCAACCTACGCCTGCCAGACTGGACTCCACGCTGGGGATTTAAGCATATTCACCGATGTAAAGACGTAGAGTGCTCCGGAAACCCTGGGCCCCCAAAAAACGTCAACTCTTGGGGGTGCCACCTGCACTTCGGCTGCGTTCAGCCAGCCTTCCGAGGGCTTCCGCCGGCGGAGGCGCCCTCGTTGCACTTCCGCCGCCTTTCGCCGAGGGAGAGATAGCAACTCCTTCGGTCCTCGAAGGCGAGGGCGGAGGCGACCCAGCTGTGCTTCCGCCGCCTTCCGCTGGCACCCAGGCCGCCCTCCGCCGAGGAAGGGGCGGCACCTCCCTCGACCCCCTCGAAGGCGAGGCCCTGTCTGGAGGGCCCCTACGAGCCCCCCAGAGCCTCGCGGAATTGGACAACGGCTGGCCAGGTCGGGCGTGTCCTCCTACAGGCGAATTTTTGCAAGAAATTCCAAACATGGTCAAACAAATACTCAAACATAGTTAAACTAGCAGAAAATTCGTTCCCAGGGTATTGTTAAATATGTTGGCCTTTTCCTCCTGTAGATGGATATGCCCGACTTAAGCAAAGTACCCCACGATGCGCGACGCGCAGTTCTCCTCGCGTCGCCGCGGCCTCGCGC